AAATCAATACGACTGTTAGGCCTAGATAAGAAATGAGCTCTCTAGCGCCCCCATTTTGTTTGATGGGGTCAATAATGGAGGGGTCCCCTCAGATTATGTGTGGTCATATGCCTACAAAGTTGCGTGGTGATGGGTGAAACCCTTGAGATGTTCTACACCTTTATGTGATGAGCCACGCCCTCCTCAATATTCATTGCCTTATAGAAGCTCAGTTTTAGTAAGTTTTCCAACTTTTGCCAAGAGGGAACTTTAGATATTGGTCCCTAGATTATGTTCACCCAGTTTCATGCAGATCGCTCAAACTTCCTAGGAAGAAAAAAAATGGCAGAAAATCTGTATAACCGGAAGTTATGGGTTCTTGAGGCAAATGTGTTCCTCATGAGGAGAGGCATCTCTGTGCAAAGTTTCATGTCTCTACGACATACGGGGCATGAGATATGCCCATTCAAAGTTTGCAATTTCAATTGGTTGCTGTAGCGCCCCCCTTTGGCCAGTTGATGTAATTTTGCTTCATTGGCATCCTCCCATGACCCTCTACCACTGTGCCAAATTTCACATGGATTGACCAAGTCAGTGAGGAGAAAAACGTGGAACAGACACACCCACAGTCGTCATTATCTAGTAAGATTGTTGGCGAGCAAGTGACAAACCATACTCACAAGCTCAAGCAATCACACTTTGAGTTATGTGCCAAAGCTAAGAAATCACTTGTTAGGCAGCTAAGGGGAGTACAGGCCAAGATGGCAATACACAAAATTTCCTTGCCAACTAGACAACTGATAACAAAGCTTGTTAACGACAAGATTTTTCACATATTACAATCAGTTATAAATTGCTCTGTAAAAAAAGTGTTCCCTAATACTTTATATAATGCTTATATTTGTCTTCTTTTAAAAAAAAGGATAAGGAAGACACTGATGTTTCATTGAATCGCCCTCTAAGTTTTTTAAACTCTGATCAAAAGATCATTGCAAAAGTTCTGTCAAGCCACATAAAGGAGCACATTGATACGTTAATTCATCCTGACCAAACGGGTTTTATTCCAGACAGATTTCCCCTTTCCAACACTCAGCGTCAATTAAACATAATGTATTCAACTAAATTCCTGTACTCTGATGTCATTTCTTTAGATGCACAGCTAGCCATCGACCATCGAGAGTGAAGATACGTGTTTGCAGTACTGAAAAAATTTGGCTTCGGCGAGAAATTTATGCCCATGTTAAGAATGCTCTATGTCTTTCCCAAGTCTTCCATTCTGACAAACAAAGATAAATCCCCTGCATTCCTGCTGCGCAGCGGTACTAGATAGGGCTGTTGTCTTTCCCCTATGCTCTTTGCTGTGGCACTTGAGCCTTTTGCCATTTCAATTAGATCCAGTTCCCAAATTGATGGAATAAGGTGTGGGACATCTGTCTGTACCATAGGCTTATATGCAGATGATGTAATTCTGACTCTGTCAGACGCAAGGACGTTACTTCCCCTCTTTGATCTCATAAACAGCTTTGGTCAGTTTTCTGGGTTTACTATCAATTGGGAAAAGAGTTTGTTCATGCCTCTCTCTGACGGCCTCCATTCCTGCTTTCTTGATAACCTACCATCAATTATTTTGTTTATCTAGGGATCAATATCACCAGACACCCAAATTGCCTATTTAAAGCCCCTACAAGGAACTTTCATTTTGAGTTGATTTTGGCGACCCTGTGTACAAAGCGGTAGTGTTTTGCCAGAATGAAGTCTACATTTCCCATGAGCTCTAGTGTGTATTGTCGTAAAGACGCTTACCTGGCTCGCGCATGTGTTTGTTTTGGGGATGAATGAAACAACAAGACGGGAAAACTTTGCCCTCGCTCCTATCGGGGATCCCAGCTCACCTCTGCCGCGCCCCAGCTCCACCTCTCCGGCGTAAGCGCCACCGCCGCCGGGGTAAACGCAGCGGTAAGGCTGAAGGCCTGTTTGGTGAGCACTTCCACGGGTTCTTGGACTGAGAATGGAGCGGTGCCTCGCCTCTTTATTTCTCGGCACTCGCTGGACCCTGTCGACGCCTGGCTGGTACCTGTCGTCTGCCCAGATGAGGTGTTCCAGCCCCGCGGCCCCTGCTCTCCTTGTCCCCGCTGGCGCGGGGTGAATCTGCGCAACCTGCAGCCTCTGTGTGTGGCTCCCCGGACAGCTAACGCCGTGGACCCGCCAGCTCCTGCCAGGATTGGGCTGGTAAATGCTAGATCGCTAGCGAACAAAACGTTTATCCTGAAGGATTTCCTGACTTCCCGAGGATTGGATTTTCTCTGTGTGACTGAGACGTGGCTGACTGTTGGTGAGTCCAGTGCTTCCACAGAACTTTTACCCGATGATTGCTGCTATTTTAACTCCCCGCGGACATCTGGTCGAGGAGGAGGAATAGTGACTATTTATAAGAGTCACTATAAATGTAAGCAGCTAGGTAAGATGACGTGTGCCGTCTGAGTGCCGTAAATCGTTTCGTCCTGGAAGCGACCTGGGGCGGACCCGGAGACAGTTTCCCAAAGGTATGGATATACACTATATAGAAATAGCTTATCTTCACACCGATGGTCTCATTTGCTGTTGTAGGTCACGCACAGACATCAGCAGAAACAAGAGACTTTTGCGTATCCAGTTAAAAGTTCCTTGTAGCGGCTTTAAGTACAACTTTTTGGACATGACTGACAAGCTGAAAATGATGATAAATAAATGGAAACTTCTTCCTCTCTCTTTAACAGGATGTGTGAATATTGTTAGGATGGTGGCTCTTCCCAAATTTCTTTACTTGTTTCAGAATATCCCTATTTACCTTACATCTTCCTTTTTAAGACTCTAGACTCTATCATTAAGGCACTGGGCCAACAAGCCTCCTTGCATCTGGGCCACGCTGCCAACAACTGCGAAGCGCAGCGCACCGAAATTCTCGCGTGAGCCCGTTCGCATCAGACGCGCATTTCTCCACGCCGGTCGACAAGCGCTTCTGCTCCCAGCTGTTGTCTCCATCACATTTTGGGCTGTTTTTCCATCAAGGGTATCTCTCTCTGTTTGCGTCTGTGTGCCCCAACCCCCACCCCCTATAGCCGGTGTTACACCGAAGTCTGTGACCGTTGGAATCTGTGACTGCAGGCGGCGATGTTGCACATTGTCTGCGTGTGTGTGGCCATCAACAATGGCAATGGAAAGTAGATAGATGTTGTAAATTACTTTTATTATAACAACGTTTTGTGTGATAATGTATGCACTGTTTAATAAATGAGTAAACATCGACACAGGTGCTCTGTTATTGCCTCAATATTTGGACAGATGTATTTTCATTTCAAACTTCAACTGTAAAGAGCTAGATGCACATCAGAATATGGGACCTCACTGAATCTGCATAATAATGAGTTTAAACCTCAAAATAACTGTTTTCAATCCTTCTGTCATCCTCTCACATTAATATGGACACATATATTTGTATTTGGGATCATCACAGAGATAGAAACACAGAGGTCACATATTCTGATGGCTGTACAGCCGTCACAGATTCCGACGGTCACAGATTTCGGTGCAACACCGGCCCACTCTGTCTGTCTGTCTCTCTCTCTCTCTTCTGTTTCTCTCTCTCTCTCGCTCTCTTTTTCTTGTGTGTGTGTGTGTGTGTGTGTGTGTGTGTGTTCATCTCTCTCGCGCTCTGTTTCGGTACCACTGACTAATATGTATATAAACACACACAAATACATCGCATTTGTCAAACGGGGTGTTTTATTTTGAAATTTGACCGGATGCTGTTGTTGTTCCTTTGTTTGACTTCCTGCCTGGCTTGACACATTCTCTCGCGGCTCGCGCAGAAAATAGACCAGACGCCGAAACGAAACTATTGAACAATTTAAGAATAATTCTATGTTGTACAATGCGCTTAGAATTTTAGGGGAAATCAAGAGCATGTTGGGTCTCTCTGGACTATTTATTTATATTTATATTTTTATATCATTTGCCCAACTCCAGGCAAAATTCTGTCTCCTTCCTAGTCACTTTTTTCGTTACCTCCAAATCAGACATCTGGCGAGACAGCTACTACCTTATTTTGATACACTGCCCACACAACATGACCTAATGACGCGAGCTCCCACATCCAAGTGTTTGATCTCACATTTTGTCCGTCTCTTTATTTTGGCAGCCCCTTCTCTCAGTATTAAAGAGGCTTTGTCTAAGGATACAGGTGAGGCGATTTCAGATTAATTATGGGCGAAAGGGTTACAAACGATGAAAACATGTTCCATTAATGCTAGACTTCAACTTCATTCATCTTCTAACTGCTTCATCCTCTCCAGCTGACACTGGGTGAGAGGCAGGGTTCACCCTGGACAGGTCGCCAGACTATCGCAGGGCTGACACATAGAGACAAACAACCATTCACACCTACGGACAATTTAGAGTTATCAATTAACCTAGTCCCCAATCTGCATGTCTTTGGACTGTGGGAGGAAGCCGGAGTGCCCGGAGAGAACCCACGCTGACACGGGGAGAACATGCATACTCCGCACACAAGGGCTCCCATGCCCGGGATCGAACCGGCTACCTTCTTGCTGTGAGGCGACAGTGCTAACCACCACACCACCGTGCCACCGTCTTGCTGTGAGGCGACAGTGCTAACCACCACACTACCGTGCCGCCCTAGACTTCAACTTATTCAGTTTAAAGTCATTCATCACTTGCATTTGTCCAAGGCCAAATTGAACAGAATATTCCTTTCTTTGTCCGCTACATGTGACAAGTGTAAATCAGGTATGGGGACCTTAGGTCACCTTTTTTTTGGCCTTGCCCCAAACTCAGGAATTTCTCGGTGGACATTTTTCAATTGTATAGTAACATATATAGCAAACAGTTAGTCCCTGATTCTCTCACTGTGATACTGAGCTGTTCTGATTATTCTTTCTGTAGTGATTATAGCTTGTCTTCCTTGTCAATTGGTGTAAATGTCAATTTAAACACTTGACATACTTGTGACCGTCACAAGGAAGTAGTCAGCCATCACACAGTATCATTTTATTACATCAGTTAACAAGGCGACAACTCCTTCTCCCTCATTTAAACAGATCAGAAAATATTAATCTTTTTCAGCAATTTGTAGTTTGTACAAATGGCAGACACACACAGACACATACGATTGTTTCTGAATATCATCACAAATGATTGAGCTGACAAGTGAAATATACAACATAGAGCGAAATAAACCCTCTGAGGTGATAATATGTAATAGTATGTCTAAATTAAAAATGTCCAGTGCATCATTGACATGGTCATAATGTGAACAATAGTCTCATGAAAAACATAGTTTTGATTGGCAGCTAGATTCAAGTTTTGCCCGTGAAGTGGACTCAGCTGTGAGTGTACTGAAGAGAGAGAGGCAGACTGGAAGCCAGACAGAAAGACAAAGGAAAAAGAGAAACATCACATGCCAAAATTTTTGTTTGAGTCCACTTCAGCATGTCTGAGAAACGAGAGGCGACATTTCCTCCTGAATGTGTCTGCTTTGCTTCAGTTACCTCGTAAACATTGGCACTTTCATTGGTGTTCCTGTTGGCACTGACTGGAAGACAAACTTGTTTCTCTCAGGAACCAAAATAACTTTAAGATTCATTCCTGACATTGGCTTTTTTATGTAGCATATACACAATGAAAGCACATGCATCACTTTGCAAAATGTAATGGAAAATTTTAAGACTCTTCCCATCTGGACCCATTTTTAGCATTCTGCAAGTAAAATCAATGCTTTATTTTGCTCTCCAGTGGGATCACATGACTTCCTGGTAGTTTTATAGTTCAAAAACAAGATAGGGAAAAATGAGCTTCGACTTCTGCATCCAGCTGATGCTAAGATCTATAGAGATATACTGGCGTCCATTCAGCCGTCTACACCGCAGGTTTTTGTTGTAAGGAGTTGAGATGTTATGACATGTTTGAATAAAGATTTCCTGCAGTTACAAGGTCAAGCCACCATGTTAATGGAGTGACAAAAAAGAGCATTATATTACTGCCTGTTTTTTCTCCAACAAAACAAAAACATCATTTTTTGGAGGCAGACGGAAGCTTTATGTTGCTGTATTTGTAAATGTAGCTTTAAATGCAGTTTTTCAGAATGCTCCAATATATCCAACCTGGCACTGAATGGCACAGAGGAGCTCAAAAAGCAAACATGATTTCCTCCTTCACTAGGACTAATTCAGCCCTATTGTGGCAAATATCAATTATTTTCTTTTCTTTTTTGAAGCCCCAAATGATTCAGTGCTAAATAACTATTATTTCAGTGTGCAACTTCATTATCAGTAATGTTGGCAACTGTCATCTTGAACTGTCTGATAATTTCAATGATTTCTAGTTGTAACAAAAGATCTTTGCTCTTATTGCTTTCTTTCATTTCCATATGACATGAACACAATATCAGTTCTACAAACTTTCTGGCAGAGCTGTTCTAGACCTGTGGTTCTTAACATTTTATGTATCAAGGACCTCTAAATTGATAATCATTAGGTCACATATCCACATTTGATTAGATTTTGCTTAAAGGACCTCCATCTGAAAAGATTTTGGTTGGTAGATATGATTAAGACTTGCCTGGGAAAAGACCTTTGAATCCGCCCTCTCCATCGTGCTGACTGATTTATCTGGCATTGTGACATGAAACAGTGGGTCCTTTGTTGAAATTAAAAACAACCAATGAGCACCACAGGGGTACTCTAATTAGCCAGTCAGCACCATGGGCAGGACTAACGCCGTTGTCAAGCAGAGCTCTGGAACAACTGCAAGCGCTGTAGACAAGATAGATTCTCCCACAGAAATTTGTTTGAGCGGATGCAATGTCAGACTGAAGATAGAGACGGAGTAATGAGCTGGCAATTTAGAGATTAAGATTAAGATTAAAACCAGAATTCTATAGGAGAAAACTGTGAGAAAAGTGAAACCAAATGATCACAAGTAATTTTGACTTGTACTCACACTGGGCTCACTTCTATAGTGAATAAAGTAGTGAAAATAAACTATTCCCCATTTTTCTGGGGATCCCCTTGAACCTCATCAAGAGCCCCTGGGTGCCCCCAGACCCCTGGCTGAGAACCACTACTCTAAAAGAAGAACAAATCTTATTGGTTGAATTAGACAACCCTGGTGGAGCTACCAAGACAATATTCTGGATAAAAAAAACCACCTCATCTTTTGCAAAAGAAAAAGATATGAGTGGGGACGAATTATTTGCCAAAATACCTTTTACCTTCCAAAATGATGTAATTTTTATTTTTAACCATTCATTCCTTGCAAGCCAGTGTTTTTGTTTGGCTCAACCCATTAAGATTGAATTCAAACAATGAGACAATTTCTATTTATGTCCATTTTAAGGGAGCAGTGTGTAGGATTCGGTGGCATCTGGCAGTGAGGATTGCAGAACACAACCAGCTAAAACTTCTCCTGAGTGCCAAGTCCCAGTTAGGATTCCTTCAGTGTTCAGTGTTAAGGAGATTTTGACCTGGAGCTCAATCATCCGCAGAGGTCTCTTCCTCTCCAAAACAAACGGATCAGGTGATTAAAACTGGTAAAAACACTGAAAGAAACAGTTTCACGTTACTAATCAGTTTCTCCGACGCTGTCTGGCTCATTGCAGAACCTGCCAATGTGTGCTCACCTATTTCCTCAAATACCTTAAGATCCAGACATTAAGGAGGTTTTTATTGCGAGTCAAATTATCTGCAGAGGTCTCTTCCTCTCAAAAACAAACAGATCAGATGATTAAAACCAGTAAAAACACTGAGTAAAACAGCTGCATGTAAAAAAATCTGTCTCTCCTGTGCTGCTTGACGTGGAGGGTCTTTTACCTATAATGGCTGACACAAATGGCCCTATCTAGAGCCAGTGTTTGTTTGTTTTTTGTCCGTTCTGCTTAATATGTAGATGTAAACAGCTTATTTTAAGGTAACGACAACACAATGATTCGTCTTTTCAGGCGATTATACTCTGAAGAAAACATACTTATTATATTGTATACCATTTCTGCCAGTATATCCCCCTAAATCCTACACACTGAAATCAGAGATAATAAAATAACAGGAAGAAAAACTTCCTTGATGTGGTGACATGACAATGTTCCTGACTCCTTTTTCATCATGAGTACCTTCTCACTGCAGGTCATTGCACTCCAAACAGTCTTTGACACCTTCCTGTTATCAGGGTTGAAAAGGAAAATTAAAATCGGAGGGTAGTGGTGGTGAACAAGGTGGCACATGTGTAATGGAAACACTCCAGTATTCAACAGGAGCTGGAGGAGACAACTTCTGAAACACAACTGTGGCTCCGTTTTCATTCAGGTTACGTCTTCTCACCGGCTCAGGCTTAAATAACCAGGAAGTGTGCAAAGAGTCAAAAGGTCTGTCAGTATTTGACGAGCAGATAGTATACACGTTGTCAATCCAGAGTCTTGAGAAACCTGTGTTAGTCCGGTCTGCAGTTCCTCAGATAAATGTTTATGAATCACAGTCCAACCAGAGCTTAGCTGTGCGCTTACTCCATGATGTTTCTGTTGTAGTCATATGACAGCCGTCTCTTAGCGGCAGCGTTCTGAGCATGCTGATTGGCTGATGGGAGGCCAGGGGAGAGACGGCGATTGGCTGTCCAGGGAGCAGGTCTGCTTTCCTGCAAGGATAGGAAGATGTGATATTAGACTACTGAACACCTGCTAAAATTAGCAACACAACCCAGAGGTTTACTCCATGTAGGGTCCTTTAATTTAATACTTTACTACCAGTGCATCTGATAATGTACAGTACAGGCCAAAAGTTTGGACACACCTTCTCATTCAATGCGTTTTCTTTATTTTCATGACTATTTACATTGTAGATTCTCACTGAAGGCATCAAAACTATGAATGAACACATGTGGAGTTATGTACTTAACAAAAAAAGGTGAAATAACTGAAAACATGTTTTATATTCTAGTTTCTTCAAAATAGCCACCCTTTGCTCTGATTACTGCTTTGCACACTCTTGGCATTCTCTCCATGAGCTTCAAGAGGTAGTCACCTGAAATGGTTTTCCAACAGTCTTGAAGGAGTTCCCAGAGGTGTTTAGCACTTGTTGGCCCCTTTGCCTTCACTCTGCGGTCCAGCTCACCCCAAACCATCTCGATTGGGTTCAGGTCCGGTGACTGTGGAGGCCAGGTCATCTGCCGCAGCACTCCATCACTCTCCTTCTTGGTCAAATAGCCCTTACACAGCCTGGAGGTGTGTTTGGGGTCATTGTCCTGTTGAAAAATAAAGGATCGTCCAACTAAACGCAAACCGGATGGGATGGCATGTCGCTGCAGGATGCTGTGGTAGCCATGCTGGTTCAGTGTGCCTTCAATTTTGAATAAATCCCCAACAGTGTCACCAGCAAAACACCCCCACACCATCACACCTCCTCCTCCATGCTTCACAGTGGGAACCAGGCATGTGGAATCCATCCGTTCACCTTTTCTGCGTCTCACAAAGACACGGCGGTTGGAACCAAAGATCTCAAATTTGGACTCATCAGACCAAAGCACAGATTTCCACTGGTCTAATGTCCATTCCTTGTGTTTCTTGGCCCAAACAAATCTCTTCTGCTTGTTGCCTCTCCTTAGCAGTGGTTTCCTAGCGCAGCTATTTGACCATGAAGGCCTGATTGGCGCAGTCTCCTCTTAACAGTTGTTCTAGAGATGGGTCTGCTGCTAGAACTCTGTGTGGCATTCATCTGGTCTCTGATCTGAGCTGCTGTTAACTTGCCATTTCTGAGGCTGGTGACTCGGATGAACTTATCCTCAGAAGCAGAGGTGACTCTTGGTCTTCCTTTCCTGGGTCGGTCCTCATGTGTGCCAGTTTCGTTGTAGCGCTTGATGGTTTTTGCGACTCCACTTGGGGACACGTTTAAAGTTTTTGTAATTTTCCGGACTGACTGACCTTCATTTCTTAAAGTAATGATGGCCACTGGTTTTTCTTTAGTTAGCTGATTGGTTCTTGCCATAATATGAATTTTAACAGTTGTCCAATAGGGCTGTCGGCTGTGTATTAACCTGACTTCTGCACAACACAACTGATGGTCCCAACCCCATTGATAAAGCAAGAAATTCCACTAATTAACCCTGATAAGGCACACCTGTGAAGTGGAAACCATTTCAGGTGACTACCTCTTGAAGCTCATGGAGAGAATGCCAAGAGTGTGCAAAGCAGTAATCAGAGCAAAGGGTGGCTATTTTGAAGAAACTAGAATATAAAACATGTTTTCAGTTATTTCACCTTTTTTTGTTAAGTACATAACTCCACATGTGTTCATTCATAGTTTTGATGCCTTCAGTGAGAATCTACAATGTAAATAGTCATGAAAATAAAGAAAACTCATTGAATGAGAAGGTGTGTCCAAACTTTTGGCCTGTACTGTATTTACTCCCTGTGGACAATATTTTACAAAACTTACAGTGTAACTAATTGGTTGCATATGGTGCATTATATTATAATCCCTTTAAAGTGATAATTATGCGTGTATTCTAGAAACACACAAACCCTATGATACAAAGAGATAAACCTAAATAATCCCCCAGAAAGGAAATTCACTCAAGAGTCAAAGCAAGGAGACAAAAGCAAAGAAAAAGAAAGAAGTGAAGCAAGAGTGATAAATAAAAATCAAACAAGATAAAACATGACAAAAATACCAATAAGACGCACATACACACACACACACACACACACACACACACACAAAACCAAACACATGATATCCTCTGGGCTGATGCCTGGTGGAGATAATAAAATAAAAATAAAACAATATAAAAGCTATACAATATACTAGACTAAACCAGAGTAGACCAGGCCAGACTAAATACTTGTGTAAATCTGTACTGCCTTCTAGTTCTAACACAACACAGTGAAGATAAGCACCATATTATTCCAAAACTGTAAATACTATAAACTAGTGGTATATATCCATTAATTTCAGTGTACATTTACAAGTAGAACATTTATCTAACATATTGAATATATAATTTTATGTATTTACATTGCTCAGTGGAGGATTTCATCACCAATAAATCCCAACTACATGGCGATTAAAATCTTTGTATAATTTCACAAATAAAACCATTTCCATGAATACTGTCAAGATCTAGTGGCCTCTCTAATACTCCATTTCTACAACATCCCACATTCTAACATATTATAAAGTAGACAAAATCCAATCCAGTAGTTTCCACTAAGAAACAAATCTGAACCTAACAGCTAATGAATGTTTAGCTAATGTGGCGTTTCTGAATAACTCCAGAAAAAAGACTAGTATGAAATAAAACAATAAAAATGAGGGTGGTGTTTCCTGCTCTGCTACCCTGTAGAAAAGACCCTGGAGGAGTAAATCACACATCAGGTGCTCTGCAGTTTTCTCACATGGTTTGGTTCAACTGTGACCAGCCTGCTTGCTCTCTTCATTTATCAGCAACTGTGAAGTGTGAGGAGTGTTTTGCATAGAACAGCGGCCACTTCATTTGAATGGAGCTGCAGTTTTCATCAGTCAAACAGAACTATCAGGTCATTTTACATGCTGCACTGACAAATTCAATTTAACAACCTTGAAGCTTAACAAATGGAAACCGAACACTAAGTGCTCTTTGCTAATTCCTCTGCATGAAATTATGTGTACAGAGCATATGTGTATGCAGAAAGGGAGATCATTTACTGCAACATTGGCTTTGTGAAGTGTTTTCTAACAATGCTGAACACTGAAACACATCAGCATGATGTAAATCAAGTGATGGTGACGTACTTTGTTTAAAGTAGAATTACTGCCTTGTGGTTGTCTGTCTCTGCTAACCAGTCAGGTTGCAGTAATAGGTTACATCCCTGTCTGTCCAGTCTGTGTGTAGCCATGACAGTAGACAGTGCTTCAAATATGGATGTTTCTGCTCACTTTATCATTTTATTCTATGAGGCATTTGTGCGCTATAATATTGTATGTGACATTGTCAAAAACACATTTTGTACAGTCACAGTTACCTTGACCTTTGACCACTAAAATCTAATCAGCTCATCCTTGAGACCAAGTGGAGTTTTTTGTTTCAGGAAATTCCCTCAAGGCCACATTCAGAATGGGACAAACAGACAACTCGAAAACATAATGCCCGTCCACTATATTTCCATATAGTATATATATAGTATACGGAGTACACCCCCCAGTGTTCAACGCAAGGAAATGCATCTCTTCAAGGATGGCTAGAAACGCCACTGCTAAAAGGGCAGAAAAGTTCATTTTGAGTGTTTTTCGCTGTCCAATCTTGTGAAATGTGCGCATGGTGCAGCACAGAGACAAAAACAAGACCAATAATGCATGTCAACAAAATAAGTAACATTAAAGGAGCTATATGTAAGAAATCTAAAGCAAATAGTCGTAAAATCCTCCTAATATGTCACAGAGACTAAGGAATAATGTTCATATAACATACTGATCTCACCGACAACAATAGCACAGCCAGAATAGTCACATTTAAAAAAAAATTTACGGTCCGCAAATCATGTTTATGTTTTGAATTTGTGTTTTGGCCTGTTGCGCCACCCACCGCTGTCTACCAGTCACGCAGTCAGTAGAGTCTCAGCATCAGTTACAGTTACGACTGAGCTACAGCAGCACGGCAAGAAGCATTATCAGTGACCCAGTACATAGTATTAGCAGTCTCCTCAGCTGTATCCCGGCAGCAGCATTAGCAGTGTCCCGGTACATAGCATTAGCAGCCGGCTCCTCCTCAGCTGTATCCCGGCAGCAGCGTTAGCAGTGTCCCGGTACATAGCATTAGCAGCCGGCTCCTCCTCAGCTGTATCCCGGCAGCAGCGTTAGCAGCAGAGAAGCCGGACTTGCTCGAACGGGCCGCTGGAAAACCGAAGATCAAGGACGCGGCAATGCAGCCCTGCCACGCCAGCCACCCGTGGGCAAACAAATCAGTCTCCAATGTGTCGCTGTCCAGCAACCTTGAATCTGTAGGGGAGGGGGGGCGGACACGACTCGCGGCAGTATTTTGAATTTGAGTGCAGTAGCCGTTTTGGCCACATTCTTACATACAGCACCTTTAATATTTGTTAGAAGACGCAAGCTACCGATGTTAGCAAACTAAACATTCTGTTGAACCTTTACACTTAGAATAAAATATATAAATACAGCTGTATCACATTCCACATTCTGTAAGCTAACTTGTTTCTATGCTGACAGTTCAGTTTTTCCAACATACTCTCAGCAAATTCCTGACAAAAACCACTGAAGAACATTGAAGTTCTCATTGGATTGAATTGACTTCCTGTTGACTGGCATACGTACACAGAGCTATGTGGATAAATGCTGCAGTACCGTTCTCATGGTTGTGGGTGTGAATGACGTCAGTCTTTACTTACAGTGTGCGGCTGCTCCAGGTGTAAAGTCCTCAGCAGCAGGTCACGAGACACACCATCCGCTCTCTTGTATCGCTGGCAAATCATTTTGTTCAAGTCATGGAAACTGTCCAACAGCCTGCAGGGTCAAACATGAACAACACGCAGCGGAAGCACTAGTTCAGTGGTTGTTGTTTTTCTCACAGAGTGACAGGTGTGTAGAAAAGTCAAAGACAGTCTTCATATACAGGGAAATGTTGTAAAGCTGGATAACTTAAACTTGAAATGGTCAAGTTTTGTTGTGTTTATTAATTGATTTGTTTATGGAAATTAATGATACTAAATAATAAGAATATTGTGTTCCAAAAAACAATTGTCAGTACTTCAAAAGCCCACATTTGTTAAACTGTAATGTGCATCAAAGACACACTGGGTGAAAATGCCATGTGATAATCAATCATAAACATCAATTTTGCTTTGTTCTCAGAGACAGTCTACCTCCATATTGCAGTTCACCACATTAACCACTTGGTGGCCACAAGTTGTTACATTTTAAGAAATGAAGAGCGCTCAAGCAGATGCAGTGGTTTATAATACTTGCAAGGAAAAATAATAAATGCAGCATGACAATGTGCACTGACACCTATTGAAAACTCACAAAACAAGCAGATCAAGTGTAAACTTTCAACAGGATATCTCTACTAAGCACTTAGGCAGTGATCAATGTTGTATATTAATAATATACAGTATTATCATATATCATTGAACAACTGCTTGTTTGAATTATGCTCAGTTATTTACTACACTCCATTGCACTACAGTGAAATAAATTTGGTGGTTTATTGAATTAAAGGCTATAGTTTTTGTAAACATGGCAAATTTAAGGCAGCACCTGTAATTCTGCAGAAATTTATGAAAATGAGAGTAAAGTTTAAAAACAAAGGCTCATAAAAAAAAGGGGTGAATTTATGGAACAGCTGAAGTGAGGAAGTAAAAATGTTCATTACATTTATTGTATTTTTGCCTTTGCCATGGTAATTTCAATTAAGAAATTTTAATTTAATTTTCAATCGGGAAGAAAATACCCACTTGTGAATAACAATCCCCTTTTCAGATGCCACATTATCAGAAGTTGTATTCTTGACTGAATACATCAGGTATTTCCCCCTTTGATAAGGATAAAATATCCCACATTAAAAATCGGATATATTTTCCTCTAGTTTAATCTTTGTTAAAGGGCAGGTCCACCTGCATTATTTTCTGTGTCCTTCATCAGAAAACAATGACGTAGGTTACAGCACTGATTACCCCCACACACACTGTTCAGTGACAGTGTGAGCATGGAGAGTGTGGACAGTGTTGGCTTCAAAGATCTGAGCCTAGAAGATAGTGCTATTAAATTTATTTAACCAGGTGAGGTACATTTGTACTGTATAAACACATTTATAACTCCACAGTCAGTGCAATGCCTACAGTTAGATTGCGGTTGGCACGCTCTCAGTGTGAAGAAGCCGACAGGAGCACTGGGGGAACAGAAGCCAAGCAGTGTACTGCTGTAGACGGCACGTTAGATTGGTTCTAAAAGTCATACAAAAACACAAACTAACTAACCGATCAGAGGCAGTTGGAGACCAGCAACTCCTTGTGATCTATGAGGTAAAATCACTGTTTCTGTCAAAGGAGCCTGGTGGCTGTAGACTGGGACAGCAGCAAAACATAATTTAGCCTTCGAAAAAATGGCCACCTAAAAAAAATCAGCGCCACTTTATGTTCATGCTATTTTTAGATTATTTTACCGTGTTACCTTGCTGTCAGACAGCTGTTTCTGATCGGGAGCTGAAGCTGTTTTATCGCCCTTTTCAAAGCCACCAGACTCCATTCACAGAAATGTTAATTTTATCTCAAAGCACATGGGACTTGTTCGTCAACCACTGTTTAGTTTGTTTGTGTTATTGTGTGACTTTCAGAACCAAACTGACATGGCGCCCACAGCAGTACATGGTTTTATATGTGGCAACAACATTGTGCAGAAATCGACGTCACATTACATGGGAAATTGTTTTTAGAAGGGATTGGGAAAATAGCATTTTGAAACTAAAACATACATAACTCGACCAAAATTTGAATGTTTGGATTTAAATACACCAGGAACACTACTGGAAAGCTACAGAACTATATAAAAGCTAAATAATGATGATAATAATAATAATAATAATAATAATAATAATAATGATAATGGAGCCTCCCTTTAAACTGCTCAGCTGTGACATTAACTTCCTGTACTGATGCTGTGTTCAGGTCCTGTCAGATTTGCAGAAAATATGAGCGTCTGACAGGAAAGAATCCTCGGTGTCATTTCCCTAAAGCTGATTACGGGCACATCATGTAGGATTTTGCTGTGAGCTCTGATATATCCTATTACAAATCAGAGGAATGTGTCAACACAGCCAGTAAACACTGCAGCATTTCAATTGATGAACAGTAAATCAAAATGATTCAGTCGTTTTAACGGCCACACAGAGACGGTTTACCTACCCCTGGTCCTGGCTGGCTTTGCCCCTGAGGAGCTGGGTCAGTGTGGGAACAGTATCGAGGTCACAAGGGTCACTTGAGGACAAACCAGGCAAGGACGGGAAGGCTTCAGCAAAGACAGACGCCTACAGGAGAGACAACATCAGTCACTACAACATCAAAGAGTCAGAAGATTTCAAGAGTGGTTTTTTTTTTTATATCCTGACAATTTTAATATCTCATATGATGACTGGGAAAATAAAAGCATGGAAATATACTGCATCCATAATCCAGGAAGATCTTCTGCAGCCCTCTGCAGTTCATCACATATGAAGTTAATACTTGATTTTCTTAAAGGCCTCTTCTGGGCACTATGAGCATATGAAACTACTAATTTGAAAGCAGTTTTCTCCCAACACTCTTCTTCACTGCAGCTTTGGGCAGAGCTCATTTTTCATCTGCATCTTTTTACTGCGTTATGTCCACTGGGAGATTCTTCCTGCAGTGCCGGCTTCTCTTTTTTCCATTTTTAAAGAAAAAAGGCACTGGGAACTTAGAAGGGTTTAATGTGAGTTACAAAAAAACGGACTAATTTTAAGTCTAAAAACTCAGTCACCTAACCCCCGGGGCTATGTCAGGACGAGCTATGTTTCCATGGTAACTGTGTGGGAAACTGGAAATGGCATAGTTCATAATTACCTCTGAATAAGGAGGTTATAGTTTGGGTCTATTTGTTTGTAAATTTTTGTCACATTTTGGAACCAATGATGTTTTCAGACGTTCAGATCAAGGTGTTGATTAACGATCAAGTCATGCTAGCAACTAATTAGCACTAAATAAAAGTATAGCTGAGGCTGATGGACATTTTGATCATAAACACAAACGTCAAAGACGGGGCTTCAAGTGGATACACAGATTAAACAGTGCACCAAAGACTGACTAAATAATTCTAACAGAAACAGTGTGTAGGATTAGTGGCATCGAGTGGGGAGGACCACAGATTACAACCAGCTGAAACTTCTGTAGTGTGCCAAGTGTGAACTCCTGGTTAGGATTCCTTCAGTGTTCATTGTTCAGGAGGTTCTTACCGGGAGCCAAATTATCTGCAGAGGTCTCCTCCTCTCCAGAACAAATGGACCAGGTGATTTAAACCAGTAAAACACTGAATAAAGCAGTTTCCTGATACAAATCCATGTTTCTCCGATGCTGTTTGCTAGCCCAGCACCTACTGATGTATACTCACCTTCTTTCTTTGGTAACTTAAGGTCTAGGCATTATGGAGGTTTCTAGCGGGAGCCAAATTATCCGCATAGGTCTCTTCCGCTCCAAACTGACCAGTTTATTTAAACTGGTAAAAACAGGGAATAAAGAGCTTCACTTAAAAAAGTCAGTGTTTTCCCAATGCTGTTTTGCTTGTTGCGTAGGGGCTGCTCACCATGGTGGCCAATGCATAAAAAATAAAAACATGAATGGCCGTAACAGTCATTCTAAGGTAATTAAGACGCTTATTATTAGAACTTATTGTATTATATATATAGTATATTATATTCCATTTCAGCCAATATATGCCCCTATATCCTGCACTGGAGCTTTAACTGAAAGTTAAAGGGGGTTATTGTCACTCAACGGTATGTGTGTGCCGTACATAATGTTTATCTTGTATATAATGTATTATCTTTAATAGGTTATTTTTTATATATATCGGATGTATTATTTTATTGATGTCTTTAACAACAGCAAAGGGACTACCGATGAACATTAGCCTCTCGGCTATTTCGGGTGCATTAAACACTTTTGTTAAAATGTTGATTAATGTACATTGTCCCTTTTCAAATAAACAAATAAACTAAACTAAACTAAACTAAACTAAAATATTTCATGACCAGTTTATTTAACAAACAGAAAAATATTCCATGTATACAGTGCGTTTATTGCTGTTACTGGTATATTTTGGGAGCCTCAGGGGCTTTGCAAGCCAGCAGCCAATCTCTATCAACACATTTAGCCCTAAGCTGGAAGTTAAGTGAGGAGAGTACTGTGTTGTCTCAAATTAGTGGCACAAAGATTACTCCAAAGCAACCTCAGTAACTTAACCTGGAAAACCTCTTGGATGTTGATGCTTTAATTCCAATATTCTTACAGCACCACGACTGCATGGGTTTAAGGTTTGACTGAGCTGGTGGGAATAGAAACCTAAAAACAGTTGCTGTTTGTAGGTTTTATTTTACTTTTAAGCTCTACTTTTTTCTGCGTACCATATTAAATACAGTGGAATGGCACCACCACTGTGTCTGAGACACACCTATTTTATTAAAGCAATGTTAAAGCAATATTTTACTCTAACACTTCTCACTTTGACTAGGTTCAGGAGCAATCTGCCTCCAGTATTACCTACCCCCGAGATCTGCAGTTACCACCGGCACTCTTTGATTTTCTGTCTGAGTGTAAATATTAATGATTGCAAACTATTACGTCTGACTCACACTTTAGAAAATTCAGTCTAGACACAAACTAAGCCTGAGGAGGGAAGCTTTTTATGAACACAAGGCCAGCTAAGACCAAAAAATGGTCCATATAGATATCTATGTGGAATTTATGTTTGAGCCAAAGGCTGGCCAAAATCTGGGCAAGTGATAGGATTTTAAACAGAGAGAATATTAGATCTATCTAAAACATTGACAGTAAAGGCCAGATTTCTGTCACTTTTTCATGATAAAGCACAAGGGCCTGTCTAAAATGACAATATTGCACCGACCTTCAGCAGAAATCCACCACAGACACACATTCTGACAGTGATGATAGCATCAAAAGACCACTTAACAATGCAACACAGCTGATGTTCATGAGCAAACAACGACACTAGCTACTGTTTGCTCATACTTCTATCTTTGGTTGAAGGCAGAAATTATAAACTGGAATTGTAGAAATTAGATAGCTGGTGTTTAAGGGCACTCACACACCAAGCGGTTGGCTGTTGGCCAATGTCAGGCTGTTTGTGAATGAAGGTTTTGGGGTGCGTCCCCAAGGTTGGCACTATTCGGCTGTTGTTGGCTTTTTTTGGCTGATTCAGCATGTTGAATCAGAGTCAGAGCGTGCTGGTGAATTAAATCACTCAGATTGACAGTTTAGCTAAGTGCACAAGATGAGAAATAGAAGAAAGGAGAGTGAGATCAAAACAAAGTGGTTATAAAATACATAATATAAAATCAAAAATTAAAATAAGATTATTTTTCTTTAGCCATTAAGCTCTTTAGCAGAAGCAGTCTATAATTGTTTGAGTTATTGTTCACAGTACATATCATTTGCTATTTTACCATCAGGTTGTGCTGTTCATGTGCCAACTGGCTAAATAGCATCTTGAATCTCTCCTGTAGTTCTTCCTGTTTCCCTTTTTGAATGATGAATCCAATACTATGCGAATACGAATACTACTGCTGCCTGCTGGTATGGAGAGTAATTTCCTCTCACCCAGGCGCAGAACATACATAGTTGGCCATGGGCTGTATTCTTTGTTTGCTCAAGTGCAACTTTTTGGCTGAGACACAGGTGACATGGGCCGCTGAACCAATCAGCTTTTGTCACCACTGCTTCTTTGATGTTGGTTTAGTGTGTCTGAGCCTTCAGAGATGAGCCATGTTGAGGTAAAGTTAATCCACTACTTAAGTGAATCTAAGACTTTATCCCAAATACAGTCTTACTAAATGAGTCACATAGTAGACAAATTAAGTGACGTGGAAGGCAAATATTTGTAGCCTGAATGTAGTTTTTATTTTTGCATATCAGTAGTTTATAAAGGTGGGCAGATTTTACAACTCAAAGTGTGTTTACAGGCGTTGGGGATTACTACTGCATGTATGAAAAAAGTTTAAAGCTTTTTCTGGCTCCAGAGGGAGCAGCTCGAATTCTGATAAACTGACTCAAGTGATCAGTTTCACTTTCACTTGTCACTTTATTCAGTGTCGATTTGGGCTGTAGACTACAAGTCTGAAAATGAAAAAAATCTGGAGGTGTGTAGTAAGACAGAAGTGAGGTACCAGAGCTCAATGGTTCACTCCTCATCTCTGCTTGAGGCTGGCAGCTTGAGCTTTAGCTGCTACTAGAGTAACACACATGAATCTCTGACAACGAAGAAGAATGTATGGAATGAAAAAGTAAATATCTTTCGGTCCACAACATCAATTTAGAATGTTTTTTTGTACTGTCCACAGTGAGTCCAACAGTGTTACAGGAGTGCAATGCTGAATTGGTAAAGTCTGTTTTAATCTGTGCATTCAATCTGTACACACACATTTCCACATGGATTTTCTTCTACCTTATGATCCACAGCAGGCTCAATAACTACATAAAAAAACTCTTGGACTCAACATCCGACATCCAGTCGATGATACTGCAACAGCCAGACTTGCGGTATTACTGCAATGCCAAATAGAGCCACAAGGTGGTGCCTTTTTTTTGTTTTGTTGTGATATAGATTCTAACACATACTGTCGCCACACTCCTCAGACCGTGATCCACATGAGAGGATGCTCAACAGTAACGAGTTAGGTGCAGGTTATATTGTCTATGTTCTACTGCTCATGTAATATAGTGCCATGGAGACCTGGCATGTATGGTCGATGTTAAGTACTGTAGAATACAGTAACTGTTGAAACTGGTTATCCCGGCGCTTCTGCTAATTATCTCATGCTGCTAGCTCTCTTCACCTTCACCTCCCACGTTACAATGCAGCGGTCATAACCAGGCACTCACAGCCATTAATGCCCAATAGTAGTTTGACTAAAATGACATGATACTGATGACTCAAATAAACCAGTCATAGAAAGCTGCCAGTGAAATGGATGCAGTTGAAACAGGAAGATGATCTGACGGTGAATTACTACTTAAACCATCTTAAAGGGGCTGAGCACAGAAGTACAACTATACCAGATTCTGGTTAGTTGAGAGCCTGTCTCTGCTCTCCTCTACAGCGCTGGTTGGCCACCACCGTCCCACCATGTCCCGACCTTCATCTGACGAATTCTGAGGAAAGGCTGTCCAGGTGTCGTCTGATTGGTGGAATGAGCTGTCCATCCAGCCTGGGGTCCAGTGGGTCGACTCCCCGGTGCTGGCGTGGTTTCCAGGTGCTATTGTCAGACACACACACACACAAACACACACACACACACACACACACACACACACATACAAAGTTAATATTACAGTGTTTGTTGTAGATGTCCCTGTAGTGTTGTGGTGGGGTTTTGCCCTCATTTAGATGACCTGGATGGACAACCACCTAAACCAGGATTTTCTCATGCACTCTTTGTACAGTATAGTTGTACAGTTTGTATAGTACTAAAAATAATGCACCACAATTTGAGTAATCGTGAGCCAGTAATTTGTGTGTAACCTACGTAATCAGGAAGGCTACGCTCATGCGATCAAAGTGCTGATGGTAGTAAATAACGAAGTAATAAAGAGACTGATGGTACTTGTAAAGAGGCAGGTTTGAGCAGAGCATGGGTCGATCAGCACAGGACTTTCCCCCTTGAGACTGGTGTTTGGGACCCTGTAAACCAAGTGACCTTTGAGTTATTTTAAGGTATACTGTCACCATTTTTTTGTTTTCTAAACCTAACCTATGTAACTTCAAATGCAACATCATTCCTGGGGTGCTAATTTGTTATATATCATAAGATATCTGTAAGTGCATTTTTGTAAAATATCATACGTACTGTTGCATGAGGATACTTTGACTAAACCTACATTGCATTGAAGGGGTTAGCTGTGTAACAGCTAGAAAAAAATGGCTAACCATTTTCAACAACTGGCATTTATTATTATTACTCTGTCCATGCCATCAAAGATGAGATTATTAGAATTACCATGTAAAGGCTCATTTCAATCAAATGACACCCCATGGTATTTAGTTTAGTTTTATTCACTGAGATCTTGAGACATCTGCCACTGTAAATACCTGGTGATTATGTAAGTGTCAGTGATCCAAAAATAAGTGGAGTGCTAAAACACATTGCCGTTTACACCTGTGTCTATCATGCTTTCTCCAGTCTTCTCCAACTGTTTATGTGACTTATGTGAGACAGTCAAAGGGCATGTGCACATTTATTATGTCCACACTATTGCTAGCTGCTTGCTGGTATGCCCGCTAGTCGCGTAAGCAGTTGTGTGAGTTGGAGATGGAGATATTGCTGTCAGCAGAATTCAACACATCTCCTTCGATAGGGCAAAGCAATGGAGGTTTATGCAACACTTCATCAAACTTGTAAAATGGTGAGTACAGATCATTAGTATGCTGTCACAAAAACCACCACCGACTCTATCACTGATGATGTAGTCCTTGTCTGAGACACATAAAGATGCATTAGTGTTGACATTACAAAAGATATATGGTCAAATGCATCCCGACCATCTCTGCAAGAGGTTTGAGTGATAGGATCACAATGCATCTTGATCACTGTTTACCCTTGTATTTGGTGCTGTCCGCTTGTGATCGGGTCACCCCAAACCGTGTTAATACCAGGTATAAACATGCTCTTTAAAAAACCTTTTAGAAGAATATTATTAAAATTTGCCCAAGTCCAAGATGAATGTTGTGGTACGAACATTTCCACCAATACTTCAGAGGACCTCTGATGTAATCTCACACCTGAGAGATAAGTTTAAGTTTATTTACTTTATTAATCCCCCTGAGGGGAAATTCAATGTTTTCACTCTTGCTTGTCACAAGGTCTGAAAGACACACACATGCACAAACAGGACCTATACATGCACAAAGTGGAGAGATGTCAGGGTGAGGGGGCTGCCCTTTGGCAGGCGTCCCGAGCGATTGGGGGGTGCCTTGCTCAAGGGAACCTCGGCAGTGCCCAGGAGGTGAACTGGCACCTCTCCAGCCACCAGTCCATGCTCCATATTTTGGTCCGGATGGGGACTTGAATAGGCGACCCTCCGGTTCCCAACCCAAGTCCCTATGGACTGAGCTACTGCCGCCCCCAGATCAGTTCCACACAGCAACATGGATTTTAAACTGGTATAGAATCTTTATAAGCCAAGACCCTGATATCAGGAGGGAAAATGTGGGATTGTATCATCCCTTAAATCTGGGCTTTCTTTCTTTCTTTTCTTTTCCAGCAGCACTGCATGACGAGTTGCATTAACTATTATGTTAATCACCTTGTTCCAAGGAAGTGAGTGAACATTTGTTTAGAAAAAGTTGAGTCCTCACACTAGATACAGCTCCAAAGATTTAATGTGAATATCACCACATGTCGTTTCGGGCCCAGGCCCTTCATCAGGCCTGTCTGATGATCTATCTGGTGTGCGGACTCAACTTTTTCTACATTGATGCCTCTTTGTGGTCCAGCACCTAGGCTAAGTCTTTTCTAGGATGTGCGTGTCCTTTTGTTCTCAGTGAACATTTGTTTCTCATTGTGTCGTCTGTTGCTGTGAATGTTGCCTGCCGTTGCTGAAAAGTTGCTTGCTGTATCAGGAGTCTCCCTGCAAGGACACATTTCAGTGACTATTTGTATCACTTTGATGTCTGCTGCCTTCACGCCTTCATATCTTATCCTCTATTGCTCCGAAGTTGCATGATGTATCTATCAGACACTTCAGTCGTCTTTGTGTGACTTTCTCTTCCACCCGTTGCCCCATAACCTCCGGCTAACAGGAGCCCAGAGTCCCAGTCCCTGTTTGCGACCTCCTCCCTCCCTTAACCCAACTTTGAATGATTAATACAGAGTAGCGAGAACGAGAGATTTGTTAGGAATTCAGGTCAGGACAGACTGGACTCTCATTTTCACTGCAGGGCTGAGTGGTGATTAACAGGGCAAGAAACAACTCTCCATGTTTATTACACGATTAAAAGTGTAGACTAATTTCATGTTTCAAGCAATGAAGTTATGTTTTAGTTCCACGGTCAGAAATCAATGTAGGGCTCAGTACCTTACTTATGGACCATACCTATAGTTTTACATGTTTCAGGCAGTTTACTACATATCACATATATTTTACTTTGCAGCTAAACTTTGCACTGTTTTTACTGGAACTACTTTCAACCAAAGAAACAGCACAAATAAAAACTGGATATTGTGCTTTGTGGATTATCCAAAGTAAAGGGAATAACTCCAAGCCTGAGCAAATGCAACCAATATGAACTGATGGTCACTATAGGTTAAAAAAAATGTGACCCTTTAAAGCTCTAGTGTGTAGCATTTAGGGGGATATATTGGCAGAAATGGAATATAATACAATAATGTTTTTAATGTATAATCACCTGAAAATAAAAGTCATTGTGGTTTCTTTACTGTAGAATGAGCCATTTATATCTAGATAGGGAGCGGGGTCCTCATCCATGGAGTCTAGTATGTTGCATTGCCATGTTTCTACAGTAGCCTAGAATGGATAAACCACACACTGGCTCTACACACTGTAGTTAACAGCCCGTCCATGACAAGCAGCACTGGAAAAACGCTGATTTTTTAGTATGAAATGGCTTCATTCAATGTTTTTACCCCTTTAACTCACTGGGTCCATTATGTTTGGAGAGGAAGAGAACTCTGTGGATTATTTGGCTCCCAATAAAAACATCCTGAACATCTGGATCTTAAGTTAGATGAGCTAGCGGCCCATCTGCGATGAGTACTTTATTCAGTGTTTTTACCTGTTTTAATTCCCTGGTCCGTTTGTTTTGGAGAGGAAGAGACCTCTGTGGATAAATTTGCTCCCCATAAAAACCCTCTGAACAACACTGAAGGAATCCTAACCAGAAGTTCATGCCTTGCACACAGAAGAGGTTTCAGCCTGTTGCAATCTACAATTCTCACCGCTAGTTGCCAGTAAATCCTACACAGTACTCCTTTAAGAGTTAAAACTTAAAAAAAGAAACATTGGAAAGTTTTTTTAACCCATGAGAATTCACTCAAAGAGCTTCCTGTAAATGTAGACAGCACCTTCTGCTGATATCTCCTCAGCAATATGTTGAAATAATCACAGAAATGTCTTTAGGTTGAAAAACTGAGGAGAAATAATTAATGAGTAAACCCCGGCTTAGCCTCATTTGACCCCGTAGTGTAAGCTGGGTTTAGGTGATTAGCTGAAAGGAGAATAATGAGGGAACATAAGGACTAATTAACACAGAAAAACAAAAAGGCACAAAAATGTCACATACCCAGCTACATGTGTGTCTGCGTCGTGAGTGTGTTGACTATATAAGAGCCGACTCATGTTGCCAGATTATTATTTCTGTCATTCACTTGACATTCTTGCTCAGAGTGCTGTGGATGACATCATTATTTTTTTTGTACACTCTTTTTGCTTGAGAGGAAAAACTAGTGTGATTGTTAGTTTTAGCTCCTTCACATCAAGTCATGTATACTTTACATTTTCCTGACCATTTGTGATACTGTTTTACATTTTTTGATTTATTTTTCCTACCAATAAGGAAACCATTTGTTTCCATGCCAGAAGTGTTTACCCTCATTGTGTATTTCTATTATTAGATTTTCTTTTAACAATGTTATCAATGTTAATTCATACGGAAACACACGACTCTCATGATTAATTCAATGATCATATAGGCTTTTCTTACCTGTTTTAAGTCAGAATCACAGAGCTGTTATGAATTCACTCTTCGTCTTTGAATTCTTGGACAAAATACTGTACTGTAGTTGCTGAATTATTCCAAAACTTAATTAATGTAAACTGCTTGTTTCGACTTTCTCTAATCTTTAGCTTTCTAACACCATTAGTGGTACACGTAAAAGAATTTTAAAATTGTTGAAATGGACTTTGGAAATTGTAGTTAACTTCTCTACCTAAGTTTTTATATCCACAGGCTCGAAGCTTCAACTTTAATCAAAGCACCAAATATTTTCTAATGCAGCTGTTTCATCTTTGCATCTTTTGAGCTCATGATTTGAACTATGAGTAACATCACATTGTCAGTGGGACACATGAATGGGACTTTTACTTACGGAGCTGGCAGCGTCCAAAATAGTGCCTTCTGCAGTACTGTTTGCCAGCTTTCAGGCTTTTCTCATGCACCCTTCGTACGTATACCTAAGAAGAAGTACTGCACCAGAATTCGTATATAACCCTCGCAATCGGGACGGCTGCGATATGACCATTGCGCTGATGGGAGTAAAAGAGTATAGTATAAAGAGCGAACATCCACGTAAAGTAATAGGTGGGGGTGATGAATGGGTCAAAGAGACACAGGACTTTCCCTCAGGAGACTGGTGTTCATGTCCCGTGTGAAACCAAGTGAACTTTGAGTTATTTTTAGGTATGTAGTTAAAAAAAAAAAAGCCTCTCTTCTACCCACGCCCAACGCCATTTATTTTTGAGTCCTTTATCGACTATCTGGACGTTTTCCCCTGGTTAATTTACTTTCCATCTTGATGAGAGTGTCTACGGCATGGGCTCCACTAGAATCTGAATTTGGCTCTGAACCAAGTTTGTTAATGTTAAGCATTCAGTTTGATGATGCCATTCAAGGGACGGTAAATCATTAGATGTCATATGAACTATTGTATGTGCATTTTGGTAAGATATCATGTGAATTACTATATGAGAACGCACTGCAATGTTACATCATAATTGCATATAAAGTGGTTTAAGTGCAGATAGCTTTTAAAAAGTCTCCACTTAATTATCTCATAATGATACTGTGGCTTCATGCTGTAACAACAGGAAATATACAGTCACATTTCCGACACACAGCATGGTTTGCAGAGCCATTACCTGTGACCTAGACCCCGTATGATTTGGTATGGCCCTTTAAAACAGTGTGTGTGTGTATATATGCATTCCTGAATCTGTACAAAAGGTTGAAAATGCACTAATACTCTGAGCGAGCGTGAAAGTGCTGCTATTTTCATGTCTCTAAATCTGTACATTTCTGACATCTTTAACAGACTCTGCTCTACTTCTGAAGCCTTTTAATGTCAGCTTTGTTGCCTTTAACCAAAAGATCCTCTATCCCATGTCTATGTCAAACAGAAAGGCAAACTAGCTTAAGCTTCCAAAGGGGTGAGAGAGACACTAAAGAGAGAAAGAGAGGGGAAGGCCAGCCAGCAGACATGGAAAGAGACAGAGAATGACAAACTAGCAGTTGTGAGACTCACCAACACTCTCTCTGCTCCCACAAGGCACTGAGGCAGACATGGTGTATCCTTCGCTCCAGGCTGGCTCTCCCTCTGCCTGCATGAATACTCCAAATTCATCTTCCTCCTCCTCCTCCTCCTCCTCCTCCTCCTCCTCCTCCCCATCCGTTCTCCTCCCCTCCTCAGTGGCCACGGTGGAGCCCCTCTCCTCCTCGCCCTGCTCCTTCAGTTGTCTTCCAAGCCTCCTCTTTCCTTGCTGGCCTTCTTTTCTCTCTCCTGTCGGCACTCTGACCCCTTCCTCCTCCTCTTCCTCCTCCTCTTTCTCCGCCTCCAGCCAGGGCAGGCCGGTTGCCATGGATCCCAGGGGGGGCAAAGACGAGGCAGGATTAACCAAGGAGAGTGCAAGAAAGGTGGAGGGATCACCACAGGCAATGTTAGCGCTGGTCTCTCCATTTGCCTCAACATAGGTGATGCTTGTTTGTCCACAGGTGTCTCCATCCTCTTCCTCCCTTCCACTGCATCCATCTGTAGACTCCTCTAACCTCCAGTTGTCTTTTAGTGCACAGTTTCTCATTGCTTCATCATTATCCTCCTGTATAGTACTGTTGTTTATGTCATCCTCAGTGTGCTGTTTTTGGTTGTCATCTCCTTTACCATCACCATCGTCCAGCTCGTTGCAGTTGCACTCCCTCCTCAAAGCTTCATCCTCTTCCTCAGGATTTACTCTCTCCTCTATATTCTCTTCATGTGACACCTCTTCTCTATTTCCCCACACCAGTTCATCTCTTTGCTCTGCTCCTTCAAGCTCAGTTGTACCATAGTTGCAACCATTTTCTGTTACGATCCTCCTGTCTGTCTCAAAGACAGAAGGATCTCCATGTCTTAGAGGTGAAGATGAAGTCTGTCTTGCCTCTAACTCGCTGCTGTTTTCTACATTTTCAAAGAAAAACTTTGAGTTTTCCTTTTTGTTCTCGTCAGCCACACAGGTTGGTTCTTGTTGCTCTAATCTGCTAACATTCAGTTCTTTTTTACCAATGATTCCAGGGTCTGCTACCCCACAATGATACCCCTCAAGGCAATCCTCTCTGCTGTTCTCTTGCTCTGTTCGAACACCACAAGTCTCATGGTCAGCATCACAGGTGCTGCCCTCTACAGGAGCGGAGGGCTCGGGGGAGACTGCAGCGCTGACGGAGGCAGGGCAGGTGGAGACAGAGATTTCCTCATTGCAGTCGGATACAACCGAGAATTTAGCAGGAGTCTGATTGATGCTCCCTCTCTCCTCTTCCACACTCTCCATTTCTTTCTCCAATTCTTGATCTGCTGATACATGATCAGATAATCCATTCACAAATGCCTCTGCTTCTTCACAGGGGGTTTCAAATTCTCTATTATGTCTTGATGTTACGTCATCAGTAATCTGCCCAAAGGGGCCATGAGTTAAACCACTATTTCCAGTATGTATTTTCATAACCTCATTTGTATCCTGCTCTGTCTTTGAATACTTCTCCTTGCTGTGAGAGATTTGTGTCTTCAGCTCCTCGTTGCTCTCGGCCTCTTTAATCTCTTCAACATCACAGCTGCTGTGGGATTCTGGCTGAAAGGGGTTAGATTCTAGGTCAGGGCTTGGTACAGCCAAAACAGAGTTAGATGACTCTACTGCACAAAGGCCTCCCTTCTCCTCCTCTTCATTTTTTTGCCTCTCCTTCTTCATTCCTGTTTCCTCACTATTCAGCCTGTTTTGGGCGCCTCTTCTTGGACTTTCACCTCCCTCATGTTCATCCTGGCTTCCCCTCCTTTGTGCTGTCCTTCCACACTGAGTACAGGTTTTGTGAGAAGCACTGTGGCAACATCGAGGACTTCTGCATGCTCCCTCTTTCTCTTGTCTGGCTCTCCTGCTGTCCTGCTGCGGGCTGGAAAACTGTTTAGTGGCCAGGCCTCCTTTGTCTCGCTCTTCCTGCCTTTCTTCCAGAGTGATTTCTTCAGCAGGATCCTCCCTGCTGCTCTGCTGCCTCTCTCTGCTCACGCCTGTTTTCTCACGGGCTGCTGCATTACTGGACTTCCTCCATCTCCGGCCAGATCGCACCCTGACCCGGTTTACTCCGTTATGTGTAGGGAGAGTTTGCCCATTGTCCCTCCTCCCGGCTGGGATATCTCTGCCTCCTCCTCCTCCTGTCTTTCCTCTCAGCCATCCCCCAACCACGCTGGAGGCTCCACTGGTAGTCACACCAGAACTGGGCTTAGCTGTGGAGTACAAACAGCTCCCTTTCTCAGTCCGCAGGAAGAGGCATTGAGTCTGTGTCTTCCCGCTGCCCTCTGAGGTCTTCAGAGTGGCAACTGTTACCAAAGCTCCAATCCCAGCCTGCCTGGCATCAAGTCCCAAGGGAAGCCCATACCCCATGCGACCCCACTCCCCACTCAGGTACACATCTGCAGGCCTGGGTCAGGAAGTCGAACCCCAATGGCCCGCAGGAGGAGCTGTGGGGGCTTGTCCTCCTCCCAGCATACCACCAGCCTTCCGGCGGTTCTTGGAGCATAGGGCCCAGGCTCGAAGGCCCCGGATCAGAGGCAGGTCTCCCAGGCCCAGCTCCAGTCGGCTGGGGAAGGGCAGAGAGGCTCTGGAGCACTTCTGGAGCATCTCCCGGGTAGAGCCTGACACATTCAGGCAGGGGTAGTTGTTGTTGTTATTCTGCTGGAGCATGTTGCTTGTTGTTGGCCTCATCTATGTTTTATTGGTTTGTCCTCGCTTATGCTTTATTAAAATGCAGCCTGTCAGGTCAAGTTGAGTTCTCATTTGTGAGAGGGAACGCTGGCACTCTTAAGGCCTATTTTTGATTCAGAGCGTGACAGGTCAAAGGTACAAAGTTTGGAAAAAAATACACTAAACATTATGAAATTGCTGAAATACTCTCAAGAATTTCTTACTGATTCATTCTGACAAGGCAGAAAATATTGACATTGCAAGAGAGAGCTGACTCTCGCTCATCTTTTAACAGTTCTTTCTGACAACATCAGAGTTTTTGGACAAAAATAGAGTCAGTTGTTTTCCTGACAGGGAGATGGAGTTGTGCTTCTGTTTCCCTTTATCGCTCCTTAACTTTGAGAGTCTCCTGGCAAAGAAAAGAAACACCCAGGTCAGACGTCCAGCTGTCAGCGCCAATGATAGAGAGGATAATGAGAAGTTTGTTTTCTTCCAGACTGATGCTCAATGACGCCGTCTTACGAGCTTCACCGCCCTCCCTGTCGGCCGGTCTCTCTTTCAGCTGTCAGAAAACAACCTGCAGGGAAGTGGGACAAAACAAGGAAATTAAAGACATGCAAGTAAAGAAATGTGATCATAAAGACACAGTATCAGTAAATTGTTCCATGATAGTAAGAATCATGTCAGAAAGAGATACACTTTAATCTTTTATTTTACTTGTCTCATTAACAAGAAAGCATTTAGAACAGATTCAAGAAAGATAAAAACATAAATTAAAAATGTTTAATTTCTGATATTTCCACCGAGAGAACTGATTTTGTTTCACTTTGGTTTGGCTGACTGGATTACAGCTATCATGTCTGTGGGGGTGTGAGTCTGTCAAAGGTCAAACATTTGAATCCAAGTGGCTTCTTTTCAAACTACTCCCACACAATCAAGCCTCATTCTTATATAAAAACGTGCATTCACACCATGTCCATCGCGGTGCCAATTAGATTAGTTGTTGCATCAGCCATACAGAATCATCAAATAGACTAAAAATGAAACACAGGTGGCCATAAAGCCATAAATCCACTCCTCATGCCTACACAGCTTAGAGGATTTACCCAAAGGGACTCAAAGAGCCGCCACATAAGCGGCAGAAATAGGTTTGGGCCACGCATATCACACTTAGCCTACTCATATCAGCAGGCTGTGTACCACGATGATGAAGATGAACCACGTCAAACCACTCACTGTACCTGAAAAATCAGTATCTCCAGCCAACATGTCCTGAAAGGGACGCCAGAGGAAAGATTTTATCGTTCCTCACCTCATTCGATGCCTGTGTCTCCGGCCCGGGCTTTGAATGAAGTGTCCTTTACTTAATGTCTCTCTGCTTCCTTGTTGTTTACAGACGAAGCCTATTCAACCCTCCTCGGGCTGTGGAGCATCCTTCAGTGGGATCAGCGCCACCACATCCTTCCAGTCGGCCTGCATCACTGGCGCTACAGCACTACAAATCAGTCAAACAAGCGTTCACTTCTGTCCCATCGTCTGAATTAGAGCCGCACACCACAGTGAAAGCTTATTTCGGTCTCTCCCCCCACTCGTTCGGCCATTGCGCATCCTCTCATCCACCGCGGCTCGGCATCGTGCGTCGCCGCATCTTACCGCAGTAGCCTCCGGTGCGCTCAGCGAACAGGATGACGGAGAGCTAATTTGACTTGCAGCCCACTCACCTATAGGAGGGGGGATTCGTGCCACACAGAGGCAGGGGGAGGTGAGCAGAGCGGAAGTGTATGCAGGGTTGTTGATGCCACACTTGAGGAGAAAGTTTTTTTTAAGGCCTTATTTTTCTTTTTTGGGACAAACAAACAAACATTAAGGTTTTTAAATCTGTTCCTCAACAACTCTGTTTCTTAATCCAAACAGAGATGGAGAGGAAATGCCTTTCCTTAACTTCCTTACAATGTGAAATAAAAATAATACTTGTTTCAATTGCTGTTACTTTCTATTACTTTCTTTTTCAAAATACTATGCACTGTGCTGGCTGAAAATGCAGTCTGAAAGTATACGTGTCCCACTTCAACTTTTGCTATCACAATAAAAAGTTCACTAAGTTTGACAGTGAGTTGACAACGGGCAACGTCTGTGCATCACAGAGAGGGAATCCATGATTAAAAATGCAGTCTGAAAGAACGTGTATCCCACTATTTATAACTTTTGTTGGAAAAGAAAAAGCCTCTCCATCTTCACCAAGGTTAACATGTATGATCTCACTTTCAAACGGCAACATAGAATGGCTGAGGAATTGTCTCTTTGGTAAAATATAATATGATTAAATTTTCATGAAGAAAAAACATTTTCTTTGCGAGGAAAAATATATGATTGCCTTGGATATTCGGTCAGTACTCTCACCTCAGTGCAGTGAATAACACAAAGTTCAATAACATGTACAGGAGCTTAAAAGCATGTTACTTGACAAAACCTCACTAATTAAACAATTCACATTTTGCTAGTTTTCATTTATATGTGAAATCGGAGTGTAGTAGTGTAGATCCACCTCCACTAAATACATGCGTGGTCCTGCGGCTAAAGACACACCTCCTATCAGAGAATAAATTACCTAAGAACCACACCTGCCATGTGGATTAAAAACAGCAGTGCACAAAAATTGTTCGTCCATATGGACATTTTAAATATCTCCAGGTAATTTACTCTTCAACAAAACAAATACTAACCATTGGGATTCATTTGTGTTGACTGGGATGCTGCGTTGTGTCAAAACTTCATTTTAGACCTAAGGGATGTGAAATGAGATACTAGAATGATGAAACAAGACACTGCTGTTTATTTGACCAGTCTGACTTGTTAAGCATAACGTAATGTCTCATCTTACACTCTCCAAAAGGAAATCCTGCTCCATCTATGGTGAGATAAAAACGTAGCTGGTGACGCTGCAGTCTCTTACCTCCCCTCCCTCTGTGGCATCGTTCTCTCCTCATACAGCATTAACCTCCCCTCACATACACTCACCCTTGTAGCCTACGTCGCACAGCATCATCACAGCAGTAGATAAGTAGATTGAGAACACACACACACACACACACACACACACACACACAATGGGAAGACGTCATGCACCAGTGTACATAGTTTATCACTTTCTCTTCCAAAGTCCCTCCTCTCCTGGAATTTTTCAAGAAGTCTCATCCATGTGCTTCGGTGTCTCTGATCCGCAGCAGAAAACCGATTCATCTCTTCCTTTTCTTTTCTTAAAGGTAAGAATAATATGTTCCTCAGAATACTTTTTGCTTCGCTGCTCTTCTGCTCCTGCAGTTAATGCCTACATTGTTGTGACATAACAGTGAGTGGTTTGCAGTATTTTCTATGGGATGTGAAGGCCTGCAGGTGAGAGTGATCAGTCCTCATGTATCCATGTGCTTATGTTTTCTCATTTTATTCCAGTAACTGAGATGTTGATGAAAAACTTTTAAACGGTTAGAGACTTTTGTATCAGAAAATTATTATTTTTTTTTACTGTAGAAATTGCAGTGTGTAGCAGCTTGAGTGGTTCAAGCTAACATACAGTGTAACATTTAGGTTTAAGCTGTGACCAGCCTGCTGACCTTTAAAGATAATCAGTTATTTACAAAAAGCAGTTATGATTTATGTAATGTCTAACGAAAAATGGGTTTTCATTAATTTAGATAAACATTTCTCTGGATACGTGTTTCTCTCTGAAGTTTCATTTAATGATAAAATAAATAATTTTCATGGTGTACATCACAATTTAAAGAAGATGAGTGGATAAATCGTATAATGACCACTGTATGGAAGCCCAATTATGCCAAGAAAAGAAAACATTATACACGATAAATTAAATAAACATGATAAATACATAAATAATACTCACTGCAACATGGTATTATGAGATTATTAAACTATAGTCACATAGTGAAAATTGTGATATAGTAAGTCAACATTAAAGGGAAATTTCGGTTTATTTCAACCCGTCTCCTATCGTCCTAAATTTGTTTCAAGTGACTAGTGACATAAAAATAATAGTTAGCATGTTAGCCGTTAGCCTAGATACAGCCAGGGCGCATAGTAGCATCAGACCTGTTAAAACATAAGTGAACGGGCATCCTTTCAAGTGCAAAGTTAGTCCACTAAACAAGCTTTTTTTTCCACAAAGACCGCCTCATATCATTAGGATAAATGTCAGAGAACATATAGAAAACGACATGTAAACGTGTTGTCTTACCTTACCGGTGTGCTGCCATGTTTGTTTACATTTAGCTCTGCTTTACAAAGTGTGGCAGAACCGGACAGTAGCCTGAAAAGTTCATTCATTTATTTTATGAAAGATTTATAGAATAATGGCTGACTTTTTGCCAGACTTCGACTTTGTGGAGGAGGAATTTGATTTTGCAGAGTTTGATGGCCGCCCTTATTTATTTGAGCCAGAATACACTGACGAAGAGCTTTGTGAAATTGAAGAACGGAGGAGAGAGAGAGAGAGAGGTGCAACAGGTAGAGGACGAGAGAGGAGGAATGGCTGCTGCAAGGCTGCGTAGCTCTGGAGATTGGTGGTGTACCTGTGGATGCTGTGCCCCAGTGCCCACAGAAGAGGAATGCCTCTGTTGCAAGGAATGGGACCGGTTGCAGCCTTATTTTCAAGGTCTGGATGTGACCGAGGACGAGACACCTCCACCTGGAGTAGTATCCAGCTGGGCTTTATCTAGAGCTCGCCAGATATATTTCGGCCGCGCTTTGGAAAGCAGAGCTAAATGGTAAACAAACATGGCAGCACACCGGTAAGGTAAGACAACACGTTTACATGTTGTTTTCTATATGTTCTCTGACATTTATCTTAACAATATGAGGCGGTCTTTGTGGAAAAAAAGCTTGTTTAGTGGACTAACTTTGCACTTGAAGGTTGCCCGTTCACTTACTTTTAACAGGTCTGACGCTACTATGCGCCCTGGCTGTATCTAGGCTAACGGCTAACATGCTAACTATTATTTCTATGTCACTAGTCACTTGAAACAAATTTAGGATGATAGGAGACAGGTTGAAATAAACCGAAATTTCCCTTTAACACTTAGTATCTTTTGTTGTCCATTTCCGAAGTCAAAGGTTTGACTTAATAAGTCAAAATATTGACATACAAGAGTAATATTATGAGATAATCAAAATTATAAGATACTAAGGTCTGTTTTGTGCTGATTAAGTCAACATTCTAACTTACTAACTTGTAATTTTAATTTCTCGTGAGTATTTTCATTAAAATCAGACATATTTTTCCTTGTTGTAAATGGACTTCCATAGCACAGTGTGTTTTCTAAAGAAGGAATTTGAATGTGTGAGTGGGTAAATTGATTTTTGTCTAATGTGAGTTGATGTAGGCTGCAGCTCCCCATGTCCCCGCAAAGAATAAGTGGGTATGTAGACAACAAATAAATGATTGAATGATTCAGGCTGGCAGATTTTGAGTTGACATGCTCTAAAAACCCTCATAAAACACCCATAAGTCCACTTAATTCAGCAACTGTGCAGGTCAAAAACATCAGTAAACTATCACTTACATGATTTTTGTGTGAATATTATTTTATTGATGTAACATTGTAACCAACATTCTCTCCATTGCAGCTTTGACAAAAACACTTGGCACTGAAACCCTTATAATCGAAAAGAAATTCGAAGACTTGATTAAAAGAAAGGTAAAAATCTCAATACACATAGATGCTACTCAGCGTGTGTTACCATAACGTGTCACTATCTCTTCTCGGCTTTTTAGAAATCTATTGTCTATATCGCTTCTTTAAAACAGGCATAGTGTTAATGTTGTTAATGGAAAAAGTGTGGGAGAAGATTTGTCAGGATTCCTTCATGCATTTTATCACACGTTGTCATTCTGTCTACCAACCAAGTAAAGTAAACCAAGTTTAGTTAAAAGTCTCCATTCTTAAATGCTTTACTTCCACTTGAAAAGTAGCTCGTTATTTTGAAAAAGTACATGATTGTAATCTGTGAAATGGTAATTGTAATGGCTAAGAGTAGTGTATACCCTCAGTAGTTTTAAAAAGTATGTTTTCATTTAATACCAGAAATGTTTTTTTCTCAAATGAGAGGTTCTGCATTTGGGAATGAAACTTAAATGTCTCAATATAGAGACAACAAAATAAATATCTGAAATACAGCAAGAGGCTTTTCTCCCTCCATTTCAAAGCAGTTTATACTTTAAATGGAGGACACACTTTTTGAAAAATAAGGGGTAAAGGCACTTAATAAAAATGCTTTTATCAATCTGACATTTTGGCATCTAACATTATTTTGTAACATCATCAGTAATATTCATACAATAAACACAAGAATGTCAGATTATCAAAGACATTTTAATCAGAAGGTGCCTTTGTCCTCTTGTTTTTGAGCTCCTCTCTTCGGTTTTCAGAGTGCATATTTTGTTACATGTTGGCTTTTGTACAATATTGAGGCTCACCACTCCTGAGCCAGTCTGTCATTGTAGCAGCCTGATAGTAATATTGTAGAGGGCTATGTTTCAAGAGAAAATGTTTTACCTTTAAAGCTCCTCTCCCTGATTTCATGTAAGCGCCCAACAATACCCCTCAATCCACAAATTTCCTCCCAGCACTCTGCTGATGTTTTGAAACTCAACATACTTCACAGCTGAGTTTCAAAAATTCAGTCAGGAGTTGTGTCTTGAAGCTAAAGCCCCAATCACAGAATATACAGCGGTGTCTTTTTCTGGCAGTGTACAGTAAAAACAAATATAAAATAGATTAGCAGCAGGGTGGGCTACAGTAAATGTTTGAGAGCAACCTGTAACCAGAGGGTCACAGATTTGATCCCCACAGCAAAAAAAAAGAGTCCAGAGTATCCTGCTCACTCACTGTGACTATCTCTGGGTAACAGCACCAGCTAAATGCTTAAAGTATAAAACTATGGCAGAAAATGAGAATAACCTATAATCTCAAAAAGCTCACACTTTTCCTTCAAGACAAACACAGATCAAAAAATATCATTTCTACTCCTGACTCTGGTGAATATGAAAATAACTACATTTCGGATTGAAGGGATACTGCTTCAAAAAAGCAATGATATAGTTGTATTTACATGAATATTACTCTGGCCTGCACTGTAACGGTTCAAAATGTATTATTTTGAACTAATCATGGTCAAATCCATGATGCTAATGCGACTAAATGACTCATTTCCAATGCAATTTGAACACACAAACAATAAATAATAAAGTAATGTGACATGTTTACATTCAGAGTGAAAACTTTTAAACCAAACAAAATCTGATAAATAATTAGGACTAAACTAACAAAACTCAAATAACAGTAACAAAAATAGTCACATTTAAAATGGAAAAAAAAGGCAGCATATATTACTCTGTTGCTTTTATAATGACGATGATGCTAATAGATAAAAAGTCATTCTTTTGCATCACATTCATACCTCATCTATTAAAATATAAAATAAAGACTTTTACTTAATTGAGGTTTGCCATGTTGCAAGCTTAGCATACAAGAACACTGCAACCTCACCAAAGAAAAACAAAAAGGTTAAAAGACATTTAAGATATCATTACAGCATCTTCAGTAATTGAAGTCAGACACCTGGTGAGTTGTTGTCGTGGTTGGCGAAGATTCACCTGTTCGCGCTTCAGTGGTTACTATGTGTCGGGTAATTCTGGTGGTCTTGGTCACCGTGGTGACAGTTCTCTCCTGGGTGGAGGAGACTTGTTGCTCTTCGGACATTTCCTGGGTAGAGAGATCAAGCCCTGAGGTGTGGAGGCAGAAAGACCCCGAGACGTCAACCTCACCTCCTACCTCCCCCTTCCGCTGGGCCTGAGGAGAACCTTCTGGGGTTATCTGGAGGAAACCTGAGGGAGGAGGAGGAGGAGGAGGAGGAGGAGGAGGAGGAGAAGAGGGAAAAAAAAGCAGAGACAAGTAGAGGAAAGGAAGGAGAGGAGAGGAGGACAGGTGAGGAAATCAAGAGGGAAAAGAAACTTAGTCTTATGTAGCAGAGACAGAACAGGAGATTATATATTAATAATCTATGGAATAAACACAAAACTCGCATCACATGCAATAGCAAGGATAAATTATGTATAATGTGGTGCATATTCTAATAAAGTCAACATTAATACTATGAAATAATGATTGAATACAGGTATGAAGTGTAAAGCACACATACCAAACTTGTATGGACACTATTGTTCATTCGAGAGAATTTGTATAAAAATTCGCATTTTTATACAAATTTGCATAAAAATATAGCAT